CACCACATTTACTTATGCACCCATTTTGTCTTCAGCAATCATTTCGGGTAGGTGAGCATCACAAAAAGCTGGATTGTTAGAACAAAGTATCCTTGTGTTGAAGGAATACTTGAGTCGAGGCCCAATGTCATTGGACTATTACTTATAACAACTCTCAGAAATGGGCTGATAGTTCGGAGGAAGTATGTCTGCAAAGATTTAATTTTCTTCATTAATTTCCATATTTTTTAAATCACAATACTAAAAATATTTTTTTTAACTTTATCAGACGACTGTCTTAACATTAAATATCTGCACATATATTTGTTTCAGAATTAAAGAAGGCTCTATTTATCTTCGTTTACGGAAAAGAAACCGCTGCAATCACAGAGACTACCAAAATATTTCAAAAAATGGTATGTAGCTTGCCCCCCTCTTTCATGGCTGATGTTATTTTATAAAATACAGAAGCAGCTGAGATTTAGAAAATGAGGATCCCAGGGTAAGTGAACCGCTCCTCGCCTCAGCACCATTGCCCGTTTTGAGAGATCAGCCCTGGACGTCCCTTTTGCCTACAGCAAAGACCAGGATTCCCTGAATGGTGCAAATGGTTCGTGTGCTTGGCTGTTATGAAAAAATTAGAAATTCACGTCTACTCAAGGTGCTTTAAAATAAAGGTCTGGAGAACTACTGGCAACAACGAAGCCATTCCATCCCTGTGGAGCACAGTTGTCCTCTGACACACATGAGCCCAAAGTGGACTGAACAGTAACTGGTGGTGATGGGGCAGAGGCGATCAAAACCAAGATTCATGGGCCCCAGGGGAAAGGGCAGTTCCTCCAACAGCAAAATCCTATAAAGACCATGGCGTGGAACATTCAAGGAGGCAAGGCCTGAAAGAGCAAGGCCAGAGCATGAGCTAAACCTCATCAGGGTTACGGCAAAGGCTCTGCCCTTCCCTCTGGTCAGAAGGCTTCCACCTTCATTCTCGGGTTGGAAATGGAAGCAAAGTATATCTAAGTGCAAGCTGTCTTGTTGGGATATTTTTTGTAACAACTCTCAATTATGGGTGGATAAATTCAGAGAAAACATGTCCGCAGAGATATGATTTTGAGTTCATAAGAAAGGAAGGCATTTTCAGAGTGTTGCTGAGACT